ACTAGCTTTTCTTTTCTCACTTGCACTACTCATGATAAATAGACCAAGGAATTTTTTTTCCCTACAATTATAAACATTGCTTAAACAATTGCAACTAAATTCTTAACCAAGAATCAAAATACCTTATGCTTTTTACCACTTCAAGTTTATGTGCTCTCCTCAAACCTATTGTTTAGCAATTAATTAGCTTTGTAAATTTTGGCACCGTAGACACTAAATATGCTCCCTATCCCTACCTTCTGTAAGTCGTTTCAGTTTTTATAGGGTGCAGCACAACCCACAATGGATGGCAACTTTCCTCTACCAGATATCCATTTCACATCCCTGGGAAGAAAAAATTTCTAGCTAATAGTTCAGTTAAATCATGCCTACACTTTTTCTAAAATTTTTACTTATTAGCACTCAAACTATGGCACAGTATTAGCACAAGCCCATTTTAACAGGAAGCTTTACCACATGCCTATTTAAACCATTGCACTTTGTGTATTATATCAGAAGATATTAATTTGACATTCCAGTCTTATTATAAAAAAGATCATTTAACACCCACCAATTTTCTCAGCCATGGCAGTTCTTCCAGTTGAAGATGGATGCAGGAACTAAATGCACAAGATGTTTGAACCAGACTGACTTCTCAAGGTCATTCTTCACTATAGGAAGGTAAGCCTTCATTGGTCAACCAACTCCCAGTTGTACCTAGGTAAAAACACACAGATTAATCCTGGGCATCAAACAAAGGTGATGCTAAACTAGCGCAATAAATGATAAAATCGATGCGAAAAATCGCGAAAAATCTAAGGGTTGCACAGGCTTCTTTAAATGGCAGGGGGAAATTTACAGAACGTTTAAAACACTTAGTTTATCAAGGGGACAATCGAAAAAGCAAATTTCGTGGTTTTTGAAAGTACGACAGTACTAAAGGAGCGTAAACAAAATCCTAGCAGTAGTAATCCATTAAGTTATTATAGTACGTTTAATTTTTGACAGGTACGACTTAAAAGAAAATCCAAGCATATAAATATACAAGTGAGTACATGATGAAAGTCTAAGGCGTTGAAATTACCACCGCAAACTGTCATTAAGCTAGGCACTGCTTTGCTTAAGTAAGTAGACAGGTACGCAGTCGGTAAATCTTGCCAGAGAAAGGTCGAGTGATGGCAATATGGTTCTTAAGACAGTAAAGAGGTATCTTAAGTGATGCGATGGATTAAGTGTAAAGCTTAGGATGATGTACTCACAGAAGAGCATACTCTAGTCACTGGGACTGTACTTAATCCTAGAAGTATTAACCTATGAGTGAGGTAGGACATGCAAGAGTCAACAGACGTTGGTTAGGGCACCGCCTCCCTTAGTTGCCCATTAACAGCTAACCTGCCAATCGCACTGACAGACGAATGTGAGTCAGACGAATGAGTCCAAGAGTAAGTCCGGGCACTCCGAACACCTGATTCACTTCTCGTTCATGCTCACACGCTCCACCTGCAAGAGATGTTGCCGGCTGACGCTGCCTCGGGCCTCTAGCACGCGTTCACATCGCCATCACAAGTCTGGTCGGTTACGATGCTTGTGAACAGAAGGGGGTGGTAGTAGGTCGAACAGCATCTGGCCCAGGACATGTCTAGGTCCTACAGTGAACTACAGACGGATGAGGCAAGGATACTGAAGCAAATGACAACTAAAAGATCGCCTCATGTGAATGTTGGTTCTTACCTGGATACCGTCGATGGACTGCTCCATATTTTTGATTTGCCTTTTTAATCAGAATTCTTGGTGTTATGTTCGAGTTGGTGGTGATGTGACATTTCAGATCGCAAGGAAATATTGAAAAAACAATTTAGGGTTTCCTTAAAAATAAGATTTATTGGTACGCAGTACACTTAAAATTAAACAATGTCGACTTTTTTGTTAAAAAAACTTTTAGTCATCAGGTTTGTTCAATGAAGTTACGCATTCATGAATCAAGACTTCGTCTAATCCTTTGAAGGAATTATTCATGATACTGTATATTAACTCAGAATGCATCTGCCACCAAGATCTGATTATCGGTGCATGCACACGTCGCTGTCAGCCTCTACTTCGCATCTAAAAGCGTCGGGGGGGCATGTCACGGGGAGGACCGGGGTAGCTACAAGAGAACATGAAAATATTCAAATCACTTTCGGGCTCACAACAAGCTGTCAAGGGTTAAAAATTGGTTATTATAATAATCGCAAGCTATGAATTCGACTATATAATCAAAAATTAAGTTAACAACGAAAAACGCAAATTTTACCTCAAGCCTTCGATTACTTTTCGTAAACAACTAAAATATCTAGCGTTTATTTCCCTTAATTTAACACTGCAATACACAAAAAGGTATTAATTTATACACATTTATCTACATTGTTTCATTATTTCAAACTCCAGAAAAAACAATACATACCGGCGTGGAGGACTACGACGAGGTGGGGATCGTCCACGAGGTGGGAACATGTCCCTGCCACCACCGTAAATGTCACGCCTGCCAAGAAATTTTTATCAGACTTGTGTATTGCTAAACTGAACTATCCAATAAAAAATTAATTTAACTCTCCTCTACCAATACAGCAGATGCTTTAAAACACAAGGGCATTTTAATGGGCTAAATGGTTAATTACCAACAGAAAATTCAAGAGAATGCACAGAAAATTTATTAAATAGCAATATAAATAGCCTACATTTTCATAGTAAATAACAAATGTACAGCATTTAGTGACATGGCAATTCAAACTGATCAAGTTTGATCCGAGCAGAATAGTAGCTTGATATTAGGTGCAAGGACAGCAATGTTTCTGAAGGAATTAAGGGAAACTCACTAAACTGACTAGTAAAGTGTGTAAATCCAATGATGTATGGGATATGTCAAGACTTGGAGGAAGAAAGTAACTGTAGAAAATAAGGTAAATGATGACAATATATAATGAATAAAGGATAATATAAATCACTGGAGTGCAAAAGGTAATATACAAGTTTCAATGGTATACAAAAGAAAACAAGATGTCAACATGGGTTTTTTGAAACATGTTGAACATATCTACTGGAATTTTTTTTTCTTTTTAATTTCACAAACTGGTAGATAAATGGAAGATGGCCCACACTGTGGCAATATTGAATGCGGACAGAAGACCCTTTTAAAATTACAGGCTACTCCCGCGAAGAAGTGCTATAAAAAAAAAACAATTAGGAAAAAAGTAGGGAAAAAAAAAAAAAGCAGGAATAATCCATTGAGAAAATTGTCCTTTGGTCTGTGGGAACCACCTGTTGAATATTTTCAAAATACATGGCTCCACAACCTTTTTGCATGAAAGTACCCAGTCACATAGCAAAATAGTAACCAAGTGGCAAGAGAAAAATAAAGAGGATTTACATTTGTCAGGGAATAGCTAACCCAATCCTATTGAGGATGCTTGGAATACCATGAAAAAGATGGAATACTGCCACACTTCATCAATGTCATGCCTGCAGCAGGATATCAAGGACATTTGGGTGAACCAGTTACCCACTGATTATTCTGTAATCCAAGCGAAATTATGTCCAAATGGCATCAAATGGTCATCAGAGCCAAGGGGGAGATGGCAAAATTAATAATGCAAGTACCAAGTACTACAGTTTTGCTTTTTAAAAGATTTTCGTAATAAAGGGGAGGCTCAGTTTATTTTTGCAGGCACTAAGTGGTGGTGCCACAAGGAAACTTATGAAACTTAAACAAGGAAGGTTGACCTTTGTATCCGTGACATGGGTATGTGCCAATTTACACATCTCTCCACCATATAAGGTAACTTGGTATACATCCTCTATTTTTTATGTCCAATACTACTGTATACTACTTTGCAGGTTACAATATTCTTTTGTGTCCAGTAGTCTACCGAATCAAAGGGCCAAGTTCACAGATTCCAAACCTTGTTAATTCGAGGGTTCACCAAACTAACGCACAGGATTATAAAATAGCTGTCAAATGTAGATTGAGAAGCTGTGGAAGTTTTCCAACATTAGGCCAAAACTGGAAGCGGCAACTGATGTGGGGTGTCAACATGTATTAAAAAAAAAAGTCACCAAGATAGAAAAAGGCCAAAGAAAATCTACAAAATAGATCAAAATTAGTTTAGTAAAAAAAAACTCGACACTAACACTGGGTGATCATTTAAGATCATAATGCTATACAAGATTATCAAGTTTTAATGCCAGGGTGGACAACCCTGATGCCAACTGCCCCAAGTGACAAACTGACCACACAAGTGTAGCAAATATGAGTTTGCTAAATTTTGAATTAATAAAAACATTAAAAACTTTTTCCTGCTGGAATGTGCTGGTTGCAACTTTACAATCTGTACCTAGCATTATGAATAACTGATGAAACACTGCCAGCCAATACTTAAGCACTCCATTTCTGCAACTTTTCAGACAAGTTATTTTTCTTGCATCTAAGGCAATTGGTTGTTACAATAGTCAAAATTTTAAAATTTGAAATAAATGTCCAAACTTTTTCTTCAGTTTCCAATTGAAGAAACCCAATTTCTCAAATTTTGCATGGTATTGTGAATTTCACTTCATTTGCCACATGTGGCTACATTTTAAAATATACAGGTAATCATTTGTTAGGCAAGGTGTCCTACAACTGGGACTAACCAAAAAGTTACCCAGCATTAGAATATATTTTGAAGATTTTTTTTTGTAAGTACAGTTCACTGAAGGAGTATAAAAAAAGTTAAATATAGACATGAACAGCAATATATATATTAAAGAAACTTGCAGCTAAAATGAAACCAGTCAATTTATCTGCAAAGGTGAAAAGATTTTAAACTGCAAATTTGAGAATATTTCTGCTAGCAAAAAATTTCCTGCACTGTATACTACAACAGAATATCAGAAGATTCAAACAATGAAGCATATGTGGTTTGGTTGATAACATTTGTTGGTTACTAATGGACTAAAAAAAATTAGAAGGGGAGGAAGAGGGGGGGGGGGGGAGAACTTCTGAAACTTGCAATTGCTTTGTACTGAACACAATGTCTAACAGTCTAGGGACAACACAACATGAGAATAAAACATTAACTGCACTGTAAAGATAAATGATGCAGATAGTAAATTAATCTCCAAACTATGAATTCTGTGCACAATATTTTCATCACACTGCCTCCTGTCTCCTCATTGCAACATTCACAACTCATGGTACACACTCATACAAATGTTGGTACTACTACTTTCACATGTACAAAAATACCTCAATGCACCAAGCACATACTCCACCCCCCCCTAAATTCTATGGTTCATCTCATCTTTCATATACCCACCCACCTACAAGCCTACTCCTGAATGTGAACAAATTCACTAAATATGCCCACCCTCCTTCCAATGTGATATACAACCTTTCATTACTTAAATTGTGTTACCTCTCACCACCTTGCTCTTTCTTATGCACACTTTCTTTTTATTATTTTTATTTATTTATTTATTATCACACTGGCCGATTCCCACCAATGCAGGGTGGCCCGAAAAAGAAAAACTTTCACCATCATTCACTCCATCACTGTCTTGCCAGAAGGGTGCTTTACACTACAGTTTTTAAACTGCAACATTAACACCCCTCCTTCAGAGTGCAGGCACTGTACTTCCCATCTCCAGGACTCAAGTCCGGCCTGCCGGTTTCCCTGAACCCCTTCATAAATGTTACTTTGCTCACACTCCAACAGCACGTCAAGTATTAAAAACCATTTGTCTCCATTCACTATCAAACACGCTCACGCATGCCTGCTGGAAGTCCAAGCCCCTCGCACACAAAACCTCCTTTACCCCCTCCCTCCAACCTTTCCTAGGCCAACCCCTACCCCGCCTTCCTTCCACTCCAGACTGATACACACTTGAAGTCACTCTGTTTCGCTCCATTCTCTCTACATGTCCGAACCACCTCAACAACCCTTCCCCAGCCCTCTGGACAACAGTTTTGGTAATCCTGCACCTCCTCCTAACTTCCAAACTACGAATTCTCTGCATTATATTCACACCACATATTGCCCTCAGACATGACATCTCCACTGCCTCCAGCCTTCTCCTCGCTGCAACATTCATCACCCATGCTTCACACCCATATAAGAGCGTTGGTAAAACTATACTCTCATACATTCCCCTCTTTGCCTCCAAGGACAGTTTTGTCTCCACAGACTCCTAAGTGCACCGCTCATCCTTTTCCCCTCATCAATTCTATGATTCACCTCATCTTTCATAGACCCATCCACTCCCAAATATCTGAATACATTCACCTCCTCCATACTCTCCCTCCAATCTGATATCCAATCTTTCATCACCTAATCTTTTTGTTATCCTCATAACCTTACTCTTTCCTGTATTCACTTTTAATTTTCTTTTGCACACCCTACCAAATTCATCCACCAATCTCTGCAACTTCTCTTCAGAATCTCCGAAGAGCACAGTGTCATCAGCAAAGAGCAACTGTGACAACTCCCTTCTTTATCTCTTAACTCCACGCCTCTTGCCAAGACCCTCGCATTTACTTCTCTTACAACCCCATCTATAAATATATTAAACAACCACAGTGACATCACACATCCTTGTCTAAGGCCTACTTTACTGGGAAATAATTTCCCTCTTTCCTACATACTCTAACTTGAGCCTCACTATCCTCGTAAAAACTCTTCACTGCTTTCAGTAACCTACCTCCTACACTATACACCTGCAACATCTGCCACATTGCCCCCCTATCCACCCTGTCATATGCCTTTTCCAAATCCATAAATGCCACAAAGACCTCTTTAGCCTTATCTAAATAAATACTGTTCACTTATACGTTTCACTGTAAACACCTGGTCCACACACCCCCTACCTTTCCTAAAGCCTCCTTGTTCATCTGCTATCCTATTCTCCGTCTTACTCTTAATTCTTTCAATAATAACTACCATACACTTTACCAGGTATACTCGACAGACTTATCCCCCTATAATTTTTGCACTCTCTTTTGTCCCCTTTGCCTTTATACAAAGGAACTATGCATGCTCTCTGCCAATCCCTAGGTACCTTACCCTCTTCCATGCATTTATTAAATAATTGCACCAACCACTCCAAAACTATATCCCCACCTGCTTTTAACATTTCTATTTTTATCCCATCAATCCCAGCTGCCTTATCCCCTTTCATTTTACCTACTGCCTCACGAACTTCCCCCACACTCACAACTGGCTCTTCCTCACTCCTACAAGATATTGTTCCTCCTTGCCCTATACACAAAATCACAGCTTCCCTATCTTCATCAACATTAAACAATTCCTCAAAATATTCCCTCCATCTTCCCAATACCTCTAACTCTCCATTTAATAACTCTCCTCTCCTATTTTTAACTGACAAATCCCTTTGTTCTCTAGGCTTCCTTAACTTGTTAATCTCACTCCAAACTTTTTCTTATTTTCAACAAAATTTGTTGATAACATCTCACCCACTCTTATTTGCTCTCTTTTTACAATGCTTCACCCC